CGAGTCAGTTTTCTAGTTTACCATCATAAGTCATATATCAAGACATCGATTGATGATAACTCATGTATGTTTTACTGATATGTCCATACCAGTAAAAACCTGAAAGCGACATTATCTCGGCCTTTTTCGTCAAAACGCCCGTACACTAGCGTCCTGAGTTCCATTTTAGCATATTAGACTTAAATAGTTACTTCCATTTTCTGACACTGTCGATAAAATCCCATTCCAATGCGTGTCTGGTGCTACTTCCATTCAAGAGTACGCTTAATAATTACATATCTACTTACATTCGCGTAATTTTTTTGTTGTAGAATAAAGTATTGATAAACATTAATATTAGTATATACATTTATCAATATATACATATTTATATACATTATTTAAAAAATTATACGTTAAATATACATTATACAAAAATAATAATTTTTTAAAAATTATTAATTTTTAACAAATATAATGATATTAAAATAAAAGGTTCTATTATGTTTGATTTATTAAGGATTTATAAAGGTTCTACTATATTTGTTTTTGTCATTATATTTGCTTATATTTGGTTATATTTGGTTTTTGATGATATAGAATTAGTTTCAATAAATAATTATACGTTTGATAATGAAAAATTCGTCGTTGAATGCATCGCACCGCGTTGACGATGCAAACATGTGAGAGTTTTGACAAAGAAACTTCGTGTGACCGTAGTATTAGCTATACATGAAATGTATCAGAGATTGATTATATGAGATAAACTGAAAATGCGATATGATTAAAAGTAACTTGAGTGTATTTATTCCGAAATTTGATAAAAATTTATTTGAATTAAAAATTATTAAAAATAATACATAATATAATAAATTATTATATTATGATATTATAATAAAAATATTATTATAATATTATAATAAAAATATTATAATAATATTATTTAAAAATAATGCTAATAAATCTATGAATTAATAAAGAAACTAAAATAAAAAAATATAAAAGATATTAGAGAATAAGTGTAGGGAATAAGCGTGCAAAGCACGTACTTGATGATATTCTTATATTCGATAAAAATCACAAACAATATAATATCCAAAATCGGATGTAAGACATTTTAAGAGATTTTTATCTTCCAATAGATACTTTATATTCTTATACATACGTATAACGTCAACTAATTTATTATAACAAGTTGTTTATTGTAACACACATATCAAAGAAACAAATCTATTTTTGATCAACAACAAATCTATTTAACGAAACAGCAGATATACAACAGCAATATACGATGACAGATTATTCAAAAGCTATTTAAAACGTAACGATTATAGTATTCAACGTCCAATTATAAAAAAACGATGTAGCATCTCGTATCAGTTAAACGTTAGTTAATACAGTTAACGTAATATTGGAGAATATTTGCCGTAGCCACATTGTATTAATGATGTAGCCTTGAGCATTGTTTACGCCGTGTTTACGCTTTGTGTGCTACCATTCATCTATCACCATTCGTATGGACAGGTAACAGTGCTTGTCGCTCCGCGTTTCTCCATTCTTTCCTTGCTAAATGATACCAAACGTTGCTGTATTATAATATAATAATATAATAGTAAATGCTTATTAACGATTCATATACGTGTCGAAAACAATGATCTTTTAATAAAATATATACACGTGTCGCGCGACTTATGAAATAAGAAGTTCCTTTGAAATTTATAACATTTTATAAATGATAACTCCTCCGACGGGTACGGCCTTGACGTGACGGAGGGGCTGAATATTCCGAGAAGTTCCATATGTCCCAAAGACAAAGAAGCCAAGAGTACCTATTACATCGTTATTAATAACATTAATATTACCGTTAGATATTAATAATGTTATTAATAACGGTGTAATAATATTAATGTTATTAATAATGTATTAATACAGCTATGGCATAGCCATGAATCGTCTATGTAATTCTTATGTGGCAAATGTGTTTCATGGATTAGTCAGTTTTGAATCGACATTCCGTCGTAGATTTAAAAGAACTGTAGCCAGTTCATCACGTCGCGCGTTTGAAAGTGCCGGAAATGATCGGACTAGAAATTAATATTTTGTTTGCAAGTAAATAGAAACTTTTTCTACAATATCATTATTATCATTGAAATAATTATTTTAATCTTTTCTTAATTGTCAGATTTATACATAACAAAGATAATTGATTACGCGATATGTTTAACGTGAGAGTTTATCAATATCTTAAAGATGACAATAGATGACAATATAGATCATCAGGTAATAAAATAGTATACCGACAGATTAAGAGCTATTTTAAATATCAGTAAGCGTCAAGTACTTCCTATCTAATCTTATGTTTTAATTAAATTTTATAGACAATATAAATTGACGTGACCAGTGTATCGTAAGCCAGACTTGAAACGCATTTGAAATAATCAACTGCAGTTGCACAAAATTAATAATCATGATAAAATTATTATTCTTAGTTATTCCTTTATTTACTGTCGCTTACGGTAAGTAACCTAATAAACAAATTGATTAATTTTGAAATCACTTAATTTAGTGCAAGCAAAAATTTATAAATGTAATAATAAATATTATGAATGCAGGGGGATTAAAACCCAGAATTGTTGGAGGAAGACTTGCCGAATCAGGTGAACTCCCGTTCCAAGTAAGTCACAAATACATCATTATCAATCTTACATTAATTATTTAGGTTTTAAAAACATTATTAGATTGAATTATGAATTGACTGAATGTGTTGCTGTATTTATTAATTGTATATTAATTGAAAAATTGTATGTAAAATTTCCGATGTTTTATTCACAATCATACACAAAATTATTTTAGGTTTCCCTTCAGAATATCAAAACGAAGCATCATTTTTGCGGTGGAGTTATACTTAATCAACGTTACGTACTGACCGCGGCTCACTGTGTAACTGGGTAAGTGCACAAAGAGCCAAACAAAGTACACCCTTTTGGAAATGGAAATATTCCAAAGATATATGATATATATTTTATAGTAAAGACGTCAAGAATATTTCGGTCAATGTAGGAACAACGGACTTGTTAAAACCATATGTTTACGGCACATATTTAATCGCATCGGCTTATGTACATGAACAATATAACCGCAGCAACTCTTGGATCAACGATATCGCTTTACTTAAGGTAATGTAAAGTAATAAAAATCAATAAGCAAATAAATCAAACTCTTTAAAAAAATTAAGACAGAATAAAGGTATATATGAAGTACTTATTTACAGCTCGAGAAGCTATTTTTATTATCCCCTCTGGTATGGCCCATCGCTTTACCAAAACAAGATCAAATTGTCACGCCTGGATCATTAGCAACCGTGTCGGGATTTGGCAGATTAGAGGTAATATTTTTTTAACAATTCAGCTATTTAGACTCGGTCAATCAAATCTTCGAAAATTATTTTAATAAGTCACACGTGTAAAAATTTGTATTTTATCTTTGCACACACACACACACAGTATGAAGGAAGGAGGACTACACGGTTACATGTCGTGAATATTACAATAGCCAATCATGAGTATTGCAAACATAAATACTGGGTGCGAAGTTCAAAAAAAATTCACAACACGCAAATCTGTGCATATGATCCAGTTATAGAAAAGGGTTCGTGCAAGGTAAGTTATTTACAAGACAAGTTGCAATATATCGCTTCAATTACTAGCCACGCGATGCAATTTTACTGTCTGTTTAGGTAAAGTCGTTAATTAGTATTCGCATTATTTTTTACACGCAAAGCCTCCGCTCGCGTTCTACATGACTTCTAAACACAAACAACGTCTTAATATAAATATACTGGTACTTTGAGTTGTATTACGTGTTTCGAAATTTCGATTAAAAGATAAACCCAATTTCATATCATTAGCGGCGATCATATTGAATATAAAGATACATCGTGATTACGATCTCTTTTTAAGAATTTTTATTAATTAATTTATCAATTCATTAATTGATTGATGTAATACTTGACGTGCATAAAACATCCGACAATTAACATTTAAACATCGCCGATTATGTTAATTGTCGATATAATATATTGATGAGTTTGTATATTAATATGTTCGGCTTCTGTCGTTATGTTTTGTAATTTAATTTAATTGACAATTAGATTGTATAACTTAACGTTGCGAGCTGAGTGAATTGAGATTCCGACATCAAATATAATTAAAATAACAAAACAAGAATAACATGAACTGGCTCTGCATTCTGCAGCAGAAGAATATATTTCTAGTTAATTGTAAAACAAATAACACAGCTGGCGAGTGATATTTTCCAATCAAATCGTTATAAAATATTTTATTAGTTATCGGAGAATTAAATTTTTCAGGGAGATTCCGGCGGCCCTCTTACTGTCAATGGACAACTCATAGGACTTGTCTCATGGTCACATAGATGCGCTAATAAAGAATTTCCTTCCGTTTATACACGTGTCCCATCGTATGTTACTTGGATCAGAAAACATGCCGTATAATTTAAAATAGTTAAATGAAATACAGAAATTAATTTTAATATTTAATGTATAGAAATCGAGAATCGATACGTATAATTAAATGTTCATAGATAATATAGCTTAAAAATATATATTATACAAGATTTTTTTACGTACTTAAATAACACACACACACACACAGATATGTACATATATATATATATATATATATATATCAAAAAACTTTAATCAACGATTTATAAAATCTTCTGTCCATGATATTAGAAATTGATTCGGGACGGAAGGAAAATTGACCAATTGAATATTTCAGTTAATTGAGTCAATAAGATTGATTCTTTTTCCGTACGTAGAAATCTTGGATCGATTTCTAACATCATGGACAAGATTTAAGATTGAATAATTTTTCTTAGATGTAGTCAAATTTTGTTATTCATATATCTGCAAGACGTATTAAATTAAAATTTCCATAGAAATTTCATTTAAGGATTATATAATGCTAGCCATATAAATGTGCATTTTGCTAAAATTAAGCTTTCCTGTGCCGTTAACTCGTTTTTCAAATACAAAATACTTTATCTCTTCCTTTAATATCGTTGCGTAATATTGTCATAACTTTCTTTAAAGATAAATGTTTTTCCAAATATTAATGTTGATAGGAATTTTTCTGTAAATACAAATAAATTTTGTAAATACAAGACGTATCGCGAATAAAATGATGATATTTAAAATGTTATTAATATAATTAATATAATTAAAATGTTATTCAATAATTACCAAAGTCTTTTTCTTCTCGTCAGATTCTAAAAGTGTCTCTTCAAAAATTAAAAATTCGTGTTCAATGTTTTGCTAGAAAACATTATTCCTATATCTTGTTAATATGTTTGGTATTCGTTATATACGTTGTGAAATTTGCTATTATTATATTTTTTATTTTATTTGTAATTTTTTTATCGATATCATACTTCTTTTTATAAAATTCATAATTATTCGTATTTTCTTCAAATTTTTGTCAATATATTTTCTTTAAAGATCCTAAAAAATATATTAACAAATTTACAATAAACTTTGTACTTAATAAATTTAGAGTATATTTCATAAAAGATTCTTTCTCATTCTTATAAAATTTGATAGAAAGTTTAAAATGTCTTTAAATAAATATATTATAAAATATTATAAAGATTAAGAAGTAAATCTTTTCGAAATAATTTGTACTTTTAATCTTGTGTAGATTTATATCTAAACATGATTTCTTCGTTTCTTCGTTTGACGGTTCATTTGTAACGTATAAATAAGTAGCAGTCCATATCAAGTTTATTGCGTAATTTTGATTGATTATGCAAAAACATAACTGATTATTACTCAGCTATACCTAAACATTAGAAATATTCTATATGTATACATTTCCTTAAGAATATAAAAATTTGCTAGCATATTACAAATTTGAATATCAAACAAATTATCGAAGTTTAGTATAATTTTAATACAATTGAAACGGTATAATAGATTTACAATAATTATAGACGATAAATATTTTCTTAATAATGAGTCTAATCCATATATCTCTAATATTGGACGTATTGTAATTTATACTTAAATTTGACTTAAATTTTCGTACTTTTCGTACTATTTTTTCGTACTACTTTGTAATATATACAACATAGCGATAGTTAATTTATTATAATAATTACGTATTGTAACACATAAGACATGTAAATTTACAGATCTATTTTTGATCGTAATCGAATCCTTTAAACGAAGCAGCAGATATACGATGACAGATTATTCAACAGCTATTTAAAACGTCACGATTACAGCATTCAATGTTCAGTTATAAAAAAATGATGTATCAGTTAAATGTTATGCGTAATATTGTTGAATATTTTATCGTGATCACATTTCATTAACGACGTACGTAGCCTTGAGCATTGTTTACGTGACGCGTCTGTAGCGGCGAGTAGCGCGCTTCGTATTTACGAGCGTTCCACGTGCTACCATTCATTCACAATCATTCAGTAAGGGCGGGAAGCAGTGCGCGTTCCTTCGCATTTTTTCAATGTGCTGAGTGATACACAAACATTGCTATATCACACGAATATAACATTAAATGCTTATCAATGATCGATGAATGATTCGTAAGCGTACTGAAACGTCGTCTTTTTAATAAAATATATGCATACCTACGTCGCGCGTACTTATTCCTTTGAAATTTGTAACTTTTTGTAAACGATAACCCCTCCGATGGGTACGACCCCATTAATCGGTATTCCGAGGAGTTCTGTATCCCAAAGAGAGAAGAAACGAAGAACAGTACCCGTTGCATTCATTATTAATTACTTTAGTATTAATTTTAGATAATATTAATGTTGTTAATAATTTATTAATAACATAGCCACGAGTCGGCAATTATATTATTTAATGTTTCGATATCGAAAGATATATTGTAACGTGGAAATTAAATTTTGCTAGTAATATTGTTTGAATATTTCATTGTAGCCCCAGACTATTGTTGTAGCCTTGAGTTGTGTTTACACGCCGCGGCTGGGATGTCATGTTTACGAGCGCGAACAGCGTGGTATCATTCATTCACCGGCGTTCGTACGGGCAGGTAGCGAAACACGCTGCTCCGAATTTCTTCGCATTTCTCTGATACATTTCTCTGATAATGATATCAAACGTTGCTCAATCTTATAGCTAATACGGTAATGCTTATTAATCGACGTGATTAACGATTTATAAGCATATCGTAATAACTACTCTTCAATGAAATATATACATATTTCAATTGACTTACTTCTTTGAAATTCACAACTTTTTGTCAAACATTCACCCCCTCTAAAGGGTACGGCCTTGACGTTGGCAGAGGGGCTCAGTATTCTGAGGGGTTACCTAAGCAGCGCTATTAGTCGGCAGAATGGTTTGCCGATTAACTTGTGTTGTATTTGGGTATGTATCCCAAAGACGAAGAAGCTAACAGTACCCATTGCACCATTATTAATAACATTAATATTAACGTTAGCTAATATTACAGTTATTAATAATGTATTAGCACAGCATAGCCACGAGTCGTTTCACGCATTAATCGTCGGTTTTGAACCGACATTCCGCCGCCAATTTAATTGCGAATAAACGAACTGCAGCCAGTTCGTCGCGCCGCGCGTTTGCTCTCGGGAGTGCCGTAAGTGATCGGACTAAAAAACTTTTTCTCGTCCCGCGAGGGCTCGTTTGACAAATATCATAGTTCATGCCGGGAGTCGCACTGTCAAGCGGTGCAGGGATCTCATTGAGGCGTAGTCGGCTACGTCTTCATGCCACGTGCACCGCGGCACTGGTGATGCCGGCTGTGAATGTTACACGCACTCGCTACCGCTCGATGTGTTGTGTTTCGCACAGTTGCAAACTGCATTAAACGGCTGATTGAGAACACGCTCTGTCTTCGACAAGTGGTTCGGTCTCAATCGGCAAGATTTCGATCGGCTGACTTGTTTTCGTCGGATCTCTTGATTTCTTATTTTCGACACAGCATTGCCACGAGTCGTGAAAGGGCTCTTACGTGGCACGTGCGATTATTTAATCGCCAACGACCTTTATTTTCCCTTCCTTAATACCTTTTTTTCCCTTCCCGAACAAATCGCGTTTAATCTGACTCGATCAGAGCTTAGTTCGGATGGTTATTGCGTGTGCCGAGAGGCTGGATCCCAGTTGCCCGATTGTCTAGATTGTTAGGCATCGGCGGTGGGTACCTTCTCTCTCGTCACATCTACCAGCCTTCTCGATAGCCCGGGTGACTTTTGATATCACGTGTATGGTATCCGCCCTGGTGATTCGACCTGAACCGTTGGCTATGTGATGATTGAGTCAATTTTAGACGTGATTTCTAAGAAACAAGAGACGTCGGATTCAAATCAATCGATTCGTCTTCTTCCGCTTTGGTCCTAGCCTTTGCTTGAGGAGTTACCGTGTGTCCCGAAAAGCTCACCGACTCGGATGCTGACTGGACCGACGGAACTTGATATTTTCACGGGCAGCAAAAATTAGTCCGCGCGCGATTGTAATAATTCGCGAGTGTTTTTCGCGAGTGTCCTGTAGTGCAAGGACATCCGACGACCCGACACCTTGAGAGGAGGAGGAGGCCTAGGAGAGGCGTCGGGCACCGGCGGAGCAACCTTGCGGTAAGTATACAGTTTTTGTCAAGATGAAATTATTTCCTTTCTCATTTATTTGGATCATTGAATTTCGATAATTTAAAATTTATAATTTGAGAAAGAAAAATAATTTACACTTTACTATGAATTTATTTCGATAAAGATCTTTTTTGAAAATTATTTATTAATTATTAATTATTTTAATAAATGTCTAATTGAAAAACAAGTAGATTTGATATACGTAAAAATTTTTAAGTTATCTATTGTTTCAAGCGCTGCTATAATTCGAATATTCTCTTTGTATGTTACAGAATCATCGTAGCTACGTTGCGGATTAACTCCGCTGTTGCGCATCAGGTCGGTGAGTGATAAATTTTTTTATACTGGGGCAACAAATCTGTGAAATTTATATTAGATTATTTTTATATATTTATTCTTAAAGTATTGCAGTTGGATATATTTTCATAGATTTGTTGCCCTAAAATGGATGGATTTAAACAGTTTAGGATTGTGTATTTAATCTTGATATGACACTATTTATTAATTTATTGTAATGCGCTTGTACAAACGCAAAGAGTTCTTTCTTTGAGTTTCAAACACAGAGAATTCTTTGTATCGATTTCCTTATTTTATATTGTTTTTCATATTTCATTTCCGAGATATATTAATTGCTAAAAATTATCAAACAATCTCGCAAGAAAATATAATTAAAATAAGTAAAATAATTTAATTTTTTTAAGAAATTAAATACTTATGTACCATATAAAGTAATAAATATTTTTAAAATAATAGAGTTTAATTAATGAAGTATTTTTTTGAAAATGTATAGAATTTAATAATATGTAGAATTTATTAAGTTCATTAAATTTTTAAAATAAATAGTTAACAATTGAAATTCAAACCGCGTAACAAAACCGCGTAAAAGAAATTCAAAGTTGATAGTATTCTTTAAAAATATTAAATTTTTATTTTAAATATTTTTATAGTATACATTTCTCAATATAAATGGAGAAATATAAATGGAAATATAAATATAAGTATGACTCTCTAAGTTGGATTGCTAAAAGCCATAGTAATCCCCGATCGCCACTGTCTGAATTGATTGGGCATTGTGTCTAGGACTATCCTGGACTAAGCACATTAGACCAATAGCCCAGTCGGGGCAGGGATTAACTGGAGGTCACGGTCCTCCGACCTATCCTGAGCCCACATTCTAGGCGTACGAGACCTTCGGGAAATCTCTATTGCGTCTATACTGCAAGCTGCCCAATGGAGGCTTAAAGTAGTCTGAGAGTAGGCATGTATTCTCGCCTTCCGGAGGAAACATGCCCTTGCAGAGAAGGTTTGTCAGGTGTCCTGGCTTTACGAAGTCCAGTGCGCCGGGCTGGCGTTGTTGTTTGGATCCGTGAGTCCTAGCGGCCTGGAAACCGCGTCGTGCTGGTGCCTATTGACATTTGGGCATGTGTCATGAGGGTTGAAATGAAAAGAGAGTCATATTTTATATTTATATGAAATAAGAATATAAATAAACATATTATATGTGTATTTTTTATTTATTAACCATCTCTTCCCATATTTTAATACCAAGATTAAATATTTAAATCGGTACATAAAAGAGATATATGTAGTATATACATACATGTGAAATTTAGAAATTTTTTAATAATGTATATTATTAAAAATGTATATAAACATAAGTAAATGTTTAGCAAACATTAATAATAAATGATATAACAAACGTGCCGATTTAATCCTAATCATGTTTAACCTCTATCCATCTATATAATAACTTTTGGCTTTATGTTAAAGCAAAATTTAATATGACGTGAGATTCAGTAAATATTTTGTCTCGCGAAATATAAATTGATAATTATGAATTATTAACTTACTTTTATTTAAAATACGTTATTTTGTATTAAAATCTTTGAAAGTTTATTTTTAATTTAAATCCTAATTTAATACAATTATTGTTAATATATTTTTTCATTTACATTATTTATTAAATTTATTATTACTCATATTATTATATTTGATGAATTATAATTCAATATCTAGTATTTAGAATTTATATCATGACAATTTACGTAATATTAGCATGTTGATTATGCGAAAAATTTATTATCTCGCTCGAATCTCACGTCATTCATTTTGAATCTTTTATGTCGTTCTCACTTGATTCAACACTGAGAAATGATTTCTTTAGATTTAGCAATTCTATTTGTTTGACTTGAATTTATTTAACTTAAATAACATAAATTTTTATATTAAAATTTAATTTGTTGAATTAAGAGTTTTGTTGTTTCATTAGAATATACTACGTTGTTTAATAGAAAAAGGCCTATTATATTTAAAGAAAATAAAATTTATTTTTGAATTAAATAATACTTTGTTTGGCTAGATTAAATATTGTTTCAATAAAAGAAAGAGATTCTTTAATATTGTTAAATATGCATAAATAAAGAGCGTTATTATTTTTCAAACAATTTATTAAATAATTATTTTTTTTTAAATGAAATTATTTATTATTTAAAAAATTAAACAATCGAGTTTGTAGAATCAATAATTGACTTGTTTGGATTATTTCAAAAAATAAATTTCCTGGAATCTAATAAAATTTACTAAATTCAAAGAAATCATATTCGTTGTGTGGTGAGATTTAAATATTTTCGATCATACGCGAATAATATGAACGAATCATATGGGCCTTAGATTTTATTCTTTTTACTGAATATAATTTTCTTTGAATATATATTAATTATGTAGATCACAATCGTTTTTCTTTATTTTTTTATTTTTATTATTGCAATATTTTAATTATTCAATTTTCTTAAATTTTTTTATCATACATAATCGAGTTTCTTTATTTTAAATCGAAGACTAATCACGCGTGCTATACAAAAAACGCAGTATTATTAGCTTCATATAAATTTCATATAAATTTCATAAGATTTTATCACAAAGTTTATATTTTATTAATGTTGAATGGCCCTCGCGATCGACACGATTATATGACCGTCGTGCTCGTGTCGAACAAAGAATTATGCTGCCAGCATAATTCTTTGCCGGTAATTGAAGGAATATTATCCTCCTTCCTTATCTCTGGCTATATGTCAGAAGTTCTGGCTATGTGACCAGAATCAACGATGGAGCAACATGGCCAGGAGCAACGAAAGGTAAGTCCAATCTGGCCTGGAAGAATCATGAAAGATTAATTGATACCAATCAAAATGAGTAAGTGTGAAAAGATTTTTATACATCCGTGCAATTGCACGTAATATGAGAGAAATGACGAAATGTCATCTATGTAATAGATTTTTGAATATTGATATTTTTTTTTTAATATATTTCCCATTGAATAATCGCGGGTTAGGAATTCTGCTGGATCATCCAGCACAAAATAGGAATTCGGGTAGGTAGGGAGACTATGGGAAAATTCACGAGAGATTAAAATTCGATAGATAGCAACGCTATAAAATTCGGGTGGGTAACAATTCAGGTAAAAAAGAATTGATGCAGAATAAATATATAATATATACATATAATTTAAAAATTAAAAACTATGATAAATCCATTTAAAATATTAATTGTAAAACGTTAATGAGAAATAATACGGGTAGGTAGGAAAACCTATAAAAATTTGAATAAACAATTTAAAATTATAAACTTATTATAATTTATAAATTTAAAATTTTGATGAGTTTTCAGTCAGGTAGGAATACTGAAAAATTCGATAAAATAAAAAACTGTTATAAATTAAAAATTAAAAATTGCTAAATCTATATATAAATGTTAATTATAAAATTTTAATTGAGAAAAGAATATGGATAGGTAGGAATATAAACACCATATAAAAATTCAAAACGAAAATGTTATATAAATAAATAGCTACATTATAATAATTTATAAATTAAAAATTGAATATATTCCAATCAGGTAGATAGGGATATTAAAAAATCCGGATAGATAGGTAAATTGTTATAAAATAATTAAAAATTGTTAAAACTATTTAAAGTGTTAATTGGAAAAAGAACAAAATGTAATAAATAGCATTATTTGTTTCGGAATCTTAGACACTTAATAATTTTCTTTTTCACTTTTATATAAAAATTATATATAAAAATGCTATCTATTACATTCTGTTGTTTGAACATATTCTTGATTCATTGTAATGACTTGTTATTAATTGTAAAAGTTTAATTAAAATAAGAAAACGGATAGAATACTATAATAATATGAATAGCGATTTAATAATTGATGTCTTTTATGTAAAATATTAATTGTAAATAACATTAAGAAATTAATTATGTTATATTAAATATAAATGATTGAGTATTTATGTTATCCGAAGATTAAGAGATATAATAATTATAATACTTATTAATAATTTTTTGGCTGCAATTTACGCTGTTTAAGTCTCGTAATGTAATTTATAATTAATAAATCATATAACTAATAATCGTTTGTTAATGTAGCAGTGACAGCCATATGCTTTGTAGCTGAAAATGATTTTTGTTATTTTATATGTTTTAATCTACTTTAATTTTGCGTTACAGAAACATCTCATAAAATATGAAAGTTGTTGTATTTATTTTGTTATTATTAATTATGTATTTTTGTTGTATTTTATTATTAAAATAATAATTATGAAATAATTTTTTATATAATATATGATAATATTATTATATGATGATATTATATGATATTGTAAAATTATATAATATAATAAAATTCAACAAAAATAAAAGAAATATATAATTTTTTTTTACACTATTGTATTCTCGCGAAAAGCTTTGTATTTTTATCGCATTGTATTTTATATATTTATATATTTTATTTATATATTATTTTACTTATTATATATTTTACTTATTATATACTCATATTTAATTTTGTACTATTTCATGCTAAAAACTTAATATATTAATAATAAATATTAATCAATTTAAAACATGCGTGCAAACAAAAGAGGATCGTCAATTAAAATTGGCGGGGGTGGTGGAGGGCCTCTACAAATTGATCAATTTTAAAAAAATACTTTTTTATTTTAAAAAATAGAAGTCACAGCATAGAAGTGTATTATAACAAGATTTGTTCGTTAGAACTTTGACAAATAATACATATATTTTCGCCAAATGTTGAATTGCGTGTTGAATTGCTATAAATATTCACAACTGATACAAGATTGTTAATTGTTGAAGTTTTGTCTTAAAGTTATATAATTATTGAATTAATCTAGAACTAAAAGAAACTAACGAGAACTTTTGAATCATTCAATTGCTACTTTAGATGAAGATATGCTATGCTGAAACATGAAGTTAGTTTACATTTATTTTTTATTTCTCAATTTAAAATATGCAAAATATTAATATATGTAATAGTCATCAGAAACTGTAGAATTATGAAAAATACGGAATTGAAATTATTATTGTTTTTTCTTGTAAAAATTAATAAAACGTATCAACTTCACGTAATTTTTTAGTAGTAAGCTAAATATTAATTTGAATTAATATATATATTTATCAATATGTTATTTATATGAAAGAACATGACATTTTATTTTAATATTATTTTAATTAAAGAAGAAAACATCCTTTTCTATAAACACGCTATATGCATATAAATATAAATATATTGATAAATATATATATATATATATATATATATTATACTAAAGTTAATCAGTATTTTAATCTATAACAAAAAAAATTACGCGGTATGTAATTTTTAAGTTATATAAGCATATTCTTGATCCATGTAAAGTATACAGCACAGACAATCACCAGAATGCGATTTTATCGGCAGTGTCAGAAAATGAATGTAGCTAAGTAGTTACAAATTTAAAAATAGATTGGCGATAGTGTGCAGAGATCTTTGATGATCTCGTGGAAAAGGATAGCTGCTCTCAGGTTTTTCTATTTTAATTTTACAGAATTCGTTTTTACACAACTCGTAGCTTTTTGACTTCATATCTTAAATTTGCTAGAAATGTTCAAATTTGGATTTGCAGAAGATATAGCCGACAATGTTGAAGGTATTAGTTATATTATAAAAAATCAAAAGATGCACATGTCTTTTCTTTGTAATTTGAGGTTGGAATATTACGAAATCATTTTCCCGCCAATTCAACTTGATTGAATTTGCATATAATATAAAAATTATTTGTTTAAATAATTTTAAATAATTTTAGAAGATAGCGAGCAGAAAAAAAGATTAGAATGGATCTCCGCTTCCAAACTTGAAATAACGCTTGAACAAATCGAAGCGAAATATGAAACTGATTATTATACAGATACTGAAGTTTTTCCTGGTTATAATCTAAAATTAATCCGCTCTGATAAAGTAACGCAGAATTTAACTGATCAACATTGTCAAAATATTATTGAAGCTGAGTCAAAACATTCCGATCTTATTCCAGCAAAATACGAAGGTAGTAAATCAAAATTTATTTAAAACTTTTGTAACATTTATTGATAAATTTAATACATAATTAATCTGTGAAACTTTATCAATACATGCATTTAAAATGAATGTAATTAAAACCAATTTAATTAAGGTGGGCTGAAAATCTGGGAATGCACATTTGATTTAAGCCAATATATACTGGAGAAGGAAATTGAGTTGAAAGATAAACTTGTCATGGATTTAGGATGTGGTGCTGGTTTAATTGGCCTTTTATGTCTGCATAAAAATTCTATGGTTCACTTCCAAGATTATGTTCGTATTGATTTATGAATGGTGAATTGAAAAGTGGATTATGATTAAAGAAATATTTTATTTAGAATGTGGAAGTATTAAGATCTATTACTATTCCAAATATATTATTAAATTTTGACGATACAATTATTCGGACAAAATGTGAATTTTACGCCGGAGATTGGGCTTCTCTCACAACATTACTTGACACTAACGAAAGCAGAAAGTATGATTATATCTTTACAAGTGAAACAATCTACAATCCGGATAATCATAAAAAGTTACATGAGTTTTTTAAAACAAGACTGAAAGCCGATGGTGCTGTGTAAGTATATTGAATTACTGATTTCTCATTTTTATATACAAATTTAAATTTAGAAATCGATGATCTCTATTAGATTCGTTGCTGGAAAGGCTTACTATTTTGGTGTGGGAGGTGGAATGAGACAGTTTGAAAATCTTGTATTGAAGGATGGAAACTTTGATGTCACATTGGTGTGGAAAAATCGAAATGGTAATTCATGATAATTATAAATATATTTCTCTTTCATCAATTCAACAATATGAATTATATATGTTTTAGGAATAAACAGAGAAATTCTGAAACTCACAAGAAAATTACATCAAGAAATTTCTGATGTATAACATTATTGTCTTCATAAAATTATGAGGTATTAGCTTGGAATATTGTAGCAATTAGCAGTAGCAATTAGCAGTAGCAATTCTACAATAGTGTCTGGTGGTTTTTTTTTTTTTAAGGAATATTCAACTCTCATTTGCCTTTTTTTTAATGAATACTGTTTTTCTTATGGCGAGAGTCTTTCGTAAATCCATCCATTTTCTCCTTTGTGCACGAGAATATTGTCTATCTTCTCATTTGCTTTTAGACGTCTGAAACGAATTCTGTCGTGAAGGCGGTCGCTCTGACCTTGCCAAAATTCTATGGAATGTGGCACAACAAGATAACCACCCCTAAAATAAGGTATAATGAACAATCTTTATAAAGAAATGATGACGCAATAAATACAAGACTCAATAGCATGCTGTTACTCCACAGTTCAACGGTAATAAATTGTTCTATTAATGTTGCAAAAGCGCCAGTTTATGGCAACATGTCATTACACGTGACTATTAGTTTTCTTTGCTTTTATGCATATTTCTCACGAGAAATCTTTATATTTCTAATCAGTAGGAAAAAATTAAGTCTCCATGAGTTTCAACTTAATAATAATAATTTACTAATGACACAATAATTTTTTATAATTATGTATAGTGTTACCTACCAACAGATAGGCCTTTTAACCTGATTCTCTGGAAATTTCGCGAGTAGTTCTCTTTCTTTTACAATAAGAGTCTGTCTGCTAGCAATCACACTACTCTGCTTGCTAGCCGCAGAACCGATTTGACTCGCATATGGCCTACTTTGGAAATAACGATCTGAGTCTTCCGCCGAGGTTTTTTCTGCTGTACCTTCAATACGTATCTAAAATAATTCATAGTGAAATAATAAGTATGTATCAATCTTACTACATTAATTTTATTAGTTAATTAAATTTAAGAATTATTAATTGCAAAACTTAAAACTGATCATCCATAATTATATCATCTAATTTCTTAATTAAAAATATTTAATTATTATTTAAATGTACTATATTTTACATAAGTAGATAATTTGTAGTCATAATTTGTAGAAAATAAAGTTTTGTAATTAGTAATTCTTAAATTTGATCGACCGATAATTGGAGATAAGATCGACTCTATCATAACAAAATTGATTAGAATATTATTTGGAAGAAATAGTTCTATAGGGAAATTTTAGAATATTCGCAAAATAAAATCGCATTAAAAAAATCAATGAATACCGTACGCTGCGTCTAAGAGATTCCCAGTAAAAGGTCAACGCGACATGAGGATTTTCAGCCTGAAAATAAATTGTACAATATAAAATTTCTTTTTTTATGTAGTATTATGTGAATGTTAATTTAATATTTAAACTTACTAATTCGCGGCCTTTTCTACTATCGTAATTCGTATAAAACTTGAAGCCTTCTGTACCAAAGCTTTTCAGCAATACCGCGCGCACAGATGGTATACCATCTCTGAAACAAGTCATGTGAAACATGAGTGTATTGACAATTATTTGCGCAATCTTCTTGTAGTCCATCAACATACAAATTTTTCTCTTATTTCTCTGTTCTGCGACTGTTCCTTTGATTAACAATTAACAGACTGTAAAACACTGCCAATTGTATCCACATAAGTGTTTTCTTTTTAAGTACATAGCATATTTTACATGGCACTTTAGTCTCGTTATAAAATTAGATATTTTAAAGGTGGGTGATAAAAAAATATTACCTCGTTGCTGTCCCAAGAAGCATTGCATTCGGTTCTAAAATTTGCGGAGTATTGCATGCTTCCTCGAACCATGCCTTGAACTGTCCAATAGGTTCTTTGCTAACTAAATTATCTTCCGTGAAGGTCTCGCTTTTATCTTTGTATTTTATTCGCATATCTGTGGAAAATAAAAATAAGATATTATATAACAAGGAAGTTTGAGAGCAAAAAGAATATTCTAATATTTCGGAGTTTTTTTCAAATAATTTCTTGATTATTATTTTTAATTTATAATTTTATATTAGTCAAGGTTAATTATTGATTATATAGAGTGTCTTACAATAAAAAAATTCACAAAAACTAAAAGAAAAAGAATAATAACTTGTATCTCCCAAATACTGAGGCATGTGATGATATTTATCACAAATAACGTGTTTAGAATAACACATCAATACAATAATACACATATATACATATATCACAATATACATATATACAAAAATAAATGTATTAATACATGTGACCATCAAACATTCTTAGATCTGTTTTGAATTTAATAAAAAGAAAAACCATTTAGGAGAAAGTATAATTATATATATTATATTTTCTTAATATATAATTATATATATTATGAAAAAACAATTATATTTTATTAAATTGTAATCCAATAACATACAATAATAAATTTTCATATAAAGGATTTCATTTTTGAGAATATTCTTTTTTTTAAGCTTCACAAGTAAACACATATATACTATGATGTAAGGCAGGAACTAGTTTACTTTTACTATTACATAATTATTATCATGCAGAAATGACAACTGCAACTGATTATTGATTTACCTCCTATGTCAACGGAGTAATTCTCATTTCGGAGCGACATGTTGCACGGCTGTGCGCCTGACTGCTGACTCGATGACGGAACAGCTGACCGATTTTCAGCACGAACGAAGTACGACTGGCTCAAAACGCGCGTGCATGCGCACATAAGGCGCCGAATCAATACGTAAACGGGGAAAAAGGAAAGACACCTTTATCAACGTTATCTTGACATAGCTATTTTTTGATAGTGTCGATAATCTCTAATTGGGAATTGACAGATTGCACAGCAATGAAGCAATGTAGCTTAGAATATTTCTCGTGAGGCAAATATAATTTTAAATCTCATCCAAGCTACAAAAAATTCAAAAACTAAAGAAAATTTTAAGGACGTATATATTTTCACTATTTTTTTTCATAAAGATTTACAAAGGTATAAAAGGTTGAATTATTACAGTTAGAGATAAATGAGAGATTCAAAGCCTTGAAAAGTATTTTGTAAATCCATGCAATAAATCTATGCAGTGAATTCATGCAGTTCGTCATTGAAATTATCTCCTTTGCTCTCTCATTAGATGGCGCAAATGTAAGCTTGTTGCGTCAACGATAATTAGAACGTGACGCATGCTTAGAGTTATTAGTATTGATAAATAATGAGTTTTCATTCTACATGTTACATAAGATCTAAAGTATTTCAATTTTTGAGTTTTTTTAAAAATATAAAAATTCTTAGGTTTAGCGTATTAAAATTCAAATTAAAAATCGAAAAAGAAATTAATTAAAAGAAAAAAAATAGATATATAAAATATAAGCGGTATTTTTACATATTGCCCTTGTATTTAAAAGTATGGGCAATTAAAAAAATATCTTTTATACAATAAGCCAAATAAACTCTAATTTATTGGCTTTTTTATTTTAAAAAATAGCATATCGATATTTAATTAGACTTTAATTAGATTTTAATTAGAATATTATTGCGACGCTAATGTATGTCTTAGGAACATTTCAAATTTAGAGATATTTTTGGCTATGAAATAATTAGTCAGTAATGCCATAATAACTTTCTATTGCATTAAATCTTTCCAATTAATTATCAAACAATAAAATAATTAAAATGACTGCAACTATCAATTGAATCGTGATAAATTATTGTCCGGATAATTTTCACAGTTGATGAGTAATTCGTTAATATGAGATTTATGTAATGAAAATGTCTCAATCTTTATTATCTTTATTTCAAAAATTAGACTGCAATTACACTGTTAATTAATAATATCGATCTGAATAGCGACGTGACCAATTTAAGCGTCTCCAATTTAAACATGATAATACAAAGAACAAAATTTGTAGACTCAGCGAAAACTAATTTTATATTTTATATCCTGCTTCATATTAAATATATTTACAAAACTAATGATCGTTAATTAACTCAATTATAAATATAATCTTCATATATTCTTTAAATAAACATATCATTAACGTTATGTTTTAGTTATCCTAAAGTATATTTTGCGGCTTCAATATCAAATCATATTCAATTTCAAATAACATCCTTCCAATTGAAGCTTATAGCTTCTCTGATGGCGAAACCATAGCTAAGTGCTCGAGTTCGCCATGGATATGTAAGCTCCCGCCGTTGGCAGTGAAGTATTTGGCGCGATCAGAGGCACTCTGATCAGTCCGTCGCTACTTTTTGCGATTTCGAATTGTGCGTCATCGACGTAATTCGACGTGGCAATGTGTGCGGCGGGTGGCGGCTCGGTGTTCATCGGTTTCGAAACTCGCTCGATCTTCCCAGCGCGATCGCGAGTCGTTTGATTCTCGCGAATCCGCGTCGCGTCACTCGCGATGATCCGGCCGCCGATCTTTCGCGAAAAAATCGGACGTCGATCGTTTCGCGTTTCATTGGTCGTGCGCACTCGTAGTCGCCGTCGGTGCACTTTGCTCGCGACCGTGGTGCTGTTTACGTCGTTCTTAATCGTGATGGTACTCCTCAGCGTCGTCGTGGTCGAGATCGTCTCGTTCGAACGACGATTCCCGCTGTTATCTGCAGACGCGAGCGAATCCGTGCAGTTCGGCGGTGGTCCTCGATGCAGATACGTGATCGGCCAGTGTCTGCCATAGTAACCGAAATCGTATGGACGATCGGGACGATCGGGACGATCGGGACGATCGTAACGATCTTCACCACCGATCATCGGCCGCATCGGTCGCGGACTCGGGAGATAGGGGTAGTATTTCTCGCTGCAAGGACGCCACTGGTCCTCCGACAATCCCACGTAACACCTGTGATTGATTTTTTTTTTATGTTATTTTTTCCTATATATAAGAATACACGGGAGGGAAAAGGTAAAGAACATTAGAATTAGAAATTATTATTTTTCAATAACTTGCAAAGCCATTCAATGACGCGGCTCAGTTCTGCTTAAATACAGGAATGCAGAAATCATTGTTACTAAAATTAAAGGATATAATTATCACATTTGTTATGATTATCATCGTTATGATTATCGTGAAATTTTGAAAATATACAAAAAAGAATATATTACGCTATGACATTACATTGTAATAACGTACCATGGATAATGATATCCTTGCGAGAAGCCGCAATGATGAGTCGGCGCGCAACAATAGTCCCAGCTATCAAATCCTCCTCCTTCGGTCTCGCAGGTCCAAAATCCAGCAATTTTGTTCCTCTCACATCGTGTACCTTTCTTGCATGGGTAACCGTTTACCGTGTAATAACGGAAGGTCGAGTGTTCGTCCGCTAATTGAAAAAAAAAAATTAAAATTGAAATTTTTGCAAATAATTGTAAAAAGTACGTAATTGTTAGATTCACTCACGATAAGAAGATCCACCAGGACGAATCCCATGTCCAAATTTGTCGCCATAACTGCCGTATCCGTAACTGCTGGGACGATAGGGTCTGACAGGATCAGGTCTATCGGGATCATATGGTCTTACTCCTTGACTATGACTGTTTGGTCTTATCGTAAGGAAGGGTCTCGGATCGGGATGAATATCATCGGGTCTAGTACTCGGATAACTACCGCCAGAATTAAAATCTGGTCGCGAATAATCTGGAAGCAGCGGTTTTGATGGGCTCAATCCGCCAAACACATGATCATCATCGGTCGAATAGCCACTGACCACGCAATGAGGATCGAGATCTTTCCATGCGTAAAGGACATGATCAGCATCATAGATATAATCCAAACCTGGTCGCAAGTCTCTTATAGGCACGTCACTAAGCAGACAGTTTTCTTCTGTGCCATGCGTAGTGAGTCTGAGAATCGAAAAAAAATTTGTTGTAATAAAAAATGAAGATAACTAATATTATTTTTATATATTTGAAATTGTTATAAGAAGATAAAGATTATTATTAGTTTCTTAATGTATACTTACTTATAACTGTAAGACATGCAAGGAATAGAATCAGTTTCTCTCATTCTCGAGCACTTTTGTCGACAATCTTGTTCCGAATTCACGTATGTTGCCAGGAGAACAGCATAAGGTGTCAATTTGCACGGTTTGTTATATCCAAAGTAGCATACTATAAAAAATTTATAAAAAGAATTTTAAATTACGTATAATTATGCAACATAAATATATTATTACATGAAATATTCATGTAATAAATACATATACATTAGATCGATATATTTTTACCTTCGTCTCCTTGTGAAGATGGCTTGCCATTGAATTGTCCCATATTAAAAAATGGTACAGCGTAAGGTTCGCATCCCCTTCCAAAACTACCTCTTTCATATAACTCCGCGCCGTCCATATCCGGCATTTGGGCAGGATTGATGTCTTGCGATGGCCAGTCACTTAGATAACAATTAATCCGATCATTCGATCGTTCTTGTTCTAGTCCGTATCTGAAATATTTTGTGATATGTAAGACTCGCGTGATATATATAGTTTATTAAAATAATAATCTGTTTACTGTCGAAAAACTTACTTGAACGTGAAGCTTCTACACATAAAATCTTGCGTTATCATACATTCTGCCTGACAATCTCCTAGATTGTCGACTACCATCGATTTTCTAACGACGTCTGTGGGCATTCCGAATCCGCTTCTGACTCTCCAAAAACATTCTAGAAAAGTTTTACAAAAAATTCTTTGTGACAATCGCGAATTATACCGAATAAAACTAGGAGGGGAAGAAAGAGACAGATGATTTCATTGTTGTTTGTCGACTTTAGTTATTACCGGAAACACAAAGCGGAACATATAGTAACGTATAACATATAGTAACGTAATCGGGGCAGTAATGCAATTCTCAGAACGATAAAACTGCATTGTTTGCTAAAAGATAGTTTTATTTATCTTCCAACTAAAGTTTTCGAAACAAAATAATACATCGAAAATTATTTTGATTGTATCGTTACATTTGTATTAAAAAGAATTCACAAAAAAGTTATTTCAATCAAATCGTATACCATCTGGAGGATGTGGGCTCGGTTCTCTTTTCACGCCGCAAGTTCTCGAGTTCACGATCACGGCGTAAATATCGTAATCACGATCCGGTTCAAGATCAATATAAAAATTTAGATCTTTGTACGAAATGTCGCTAAGAAGACAATTGTCTGTAGGGTCTGTGGGTGCCACATTGTATCTGCAATTACATCAAATATTAAATTGATGATCACACATTAAATTGCTATTAAATTTTATTATATTACGGAAAATAAATCTATTACAAATTTTATAAATCAATTATTATATATAATATGTACCTGTAACTAAAACTCATGCAGACGAAGCTCTTCTCGTTAACGCACAGACTCTCGCATTGGTCCAGATTTGGTGTTAGGTACGTCTTTTGAACGACTCCTCTGCTGAGTCTGAATCCTGCACCGGCTCGGACGGAACATTCTTCGGCTCTTCCGGTTCCACCATAAAGCGGATCCTGGTTCGCCGGTATATAACTGTCGCCGTACCCGAATGCGCCACCATAGTTATAAAATTCGCCGTAGAATTGGTCGTTCTCGTAGGGACGTTGTGATTTAGGTTGCGGTTTCGGGTAGTATTTCGGTATATCGAACTTCCCCACATAATTCGTGTCGTAACCGTAAGAACCGCCGTAAACGCCGTAAGAATTCCAGCTGCGAGTCGGATCCTTTCGGTCCGGCAAATATGAGCCGATTTCGTTCGTGCCTGTTTGACGACATGATAATCGTATTACGAAGAATACGAATAAGAATAGAATTCGAAATCAAGTAAATTGAGCACTTGTTTCAGCGAGTGCGAAGAGTGCCGCGAGTATTCGCTTGGTTTAATCTTCGATTTTATGTACAATAAGAATGTGTTATAATAAAAATGGTACAAATAGAAAAAATTTTAGACATTACTCGGTAGAGACATTAGATATTACTTTTAATTTTTTTTTATAAATTTAAGGAATATCTAGCTTTCGTTGCGAACTACGTATTGTTTACTTTGAAGATCGAACTTCGTAGATCGAAAGTTATATCTACCCTTCACTAATTCGATAATTAAATTAAATCTCGACGAGAAAAGTAATACATCCTATGAGATTAGATCTATATCTATTTACATTAGATCTATTAGATATATGTCTATTTATATTAAATTAATATTTAAAACATTACCTATATCGTGAGTAAGTCCGTGGTCGATTCTTCTATTCGGATACCGCATCCATGGCACGTTTCTGTTGTAAAAATCGTCATCAGTTGGTCGTCTAGACGGATAGCGTCTGTTATAGACAAATCGATGATTTTCCGGTCTCGTTGGATATCTATTGCGTATCGAATCGTCGGGATAATCCCTCCGATCAAACGTATCGTCGTACAATCCACGATGATGATCCTCGTAAACGATCGGTGGTCGACGATGAGCGTAATCTAAGGGCCGAGGGATCTCGTTCGAAGGGCGCCGATCGAAATCGAATGGTCGCGGAATTTCCTTCAAGGGCCGTCGATCGTAATCCAGAGGCCGTGGCACTTCGTTTAGAGGTCGTCGATCCGGAGCGTAGGGTCTTTCGTGAAATATGTATAGATTAAAAATAGAATTTACATTGTCTGAACAATGGATGAAAAAAGGATGCGAATATTAAATTCACGCTTGAGCGATCGGTTAAGCGAAAGCAATTTGTTGAGTTACTTCCGAGAAACGAGCGTCCTTCGTCTTTGTTATGATTAGCGTGCCTTCAGATTCATTAAAAATGAATTTATCAGTGATCATTGCGCTTCTCAAGGATTGACGTTATACTAATCGAGTTGGAGATATAAAATATAATAGTTTTACCGGTAGGTAAATTCTTAATCACTATACCTTGCATCTGGCCTTTCGTCGGGAGAATAGGGTGGACCGTAGGGTTGACTAGGTCGAAACGGTTGGTCCCACCAGGATGGTCGTGTCCCAGGCGCGTTTACCTCGCAATTCGGATCCCTCTCGTAATAATCGCATTGAGGATCCGATACAAAGTCTCGATGGAGATCCATGCGAGAATAAGGTATCGATGTCATCTCGCACATTCCCCTCGCTCCATGTCCGATGCGTCTTTTTCACACAAAATCGCGATTGTTTAACGCTAAACAAATCCGTCATTGATTTGAATGATTTATTAATAGCTTTAGTGCTTTTCCTTCCGGAGTATGTTAATTGAATGGTTGGAAAGCAGCGGCAACTTTCCCGACGCGCGTGCGTGATAGTTCTCCTCGACGGAGAAGCGTGTCACAGATTGTGGTGCGATCAAATTGTCCGTGATGCAATCGCACGGTGGGTCATGCATATGTACGTACTGCATTTCGCGTGTGCATCTGATGATGAGGTACCCCAGATATATACGCACGTGTATAGAAACGCGTAAAATCATTGGGAGATTCCAAGCGTGAATAATCATGGTTAACTGTTACGCAAATTATTTTTTGACCATTTTTACCGAAGGATTTTATTAAATAGATTTTATTAAATATTTCATGGATATTTAATTAAAAATGATAAATTTTCAGAATTAAGAATCGAGAAAATTCTATCACTGAAGCACAATTACAGTTTGCCTTGTGAAATTAATTAAAACATCTTAACAAATTTATTTATAATTATATGAATATAATTTTTTACAATTTTCTTCAGATTTTACAAATATTTAGAAAATATTTGTAATTAATTACCTATAGTTAAAACCCTCGCAAGTGAAAAGCTTCTCGTAGTCGCAAGCGCGATGGCAGTCCTCGATTCTTTCGCACTCGATGGCGCGTCTGATGTGGGGGTCCGAGCTCTTCTTCCCGGACAGCAGTCTTCTGTAGCACGCTATAGTAAGAAAAAAAAATAACATTTCAACTTTGCACTTTCTACGGACAGATTAATTTTTTTTTTTTTTCACGCGACTTACGCGAGCACTCGTCCTCCACTATGACTATCGAGCTCGAAGTGGTTCGTCGGGTAATTACGACTAGCACAAAAGTCCACAACCATCGTCGACGTATCAACATGATTCCCACGTTTGATTGACAAATCGGTTTACCAAAGTGAACGTACCATCCGAATAGAGATTGCGAGAGAGACAACGCTCGCAACAAAAGCAAGACGATCTTCGCTTCAGCGTTTCGAATTCTCCTTCGAGCCACGATTTATTTTCGCGATATACCACGGATCGTGGCGAGACGTGGCCATTTTGGTGTCTCCCGACAGAAATTTTCACGTTCAAATCACCCTGATCCGTACAAGTCACTCCGGCATGTTCGCGCGAAAAATGGCGCGAACTGAAAATCACGCAAAAAATAACGAAGAAATTACGGGCTCGCGTCGTTTTATAGAAAAGTGAACGTTTCCGCGAGGATAGTGGGAGGGAATTGCTCACACGTCGGGGGAGGGGTTACTCAGCGTTACATGATCATTAATGATTCCACTTACTATTATTTTTCTTTGCTCACGGACATGCGAGCGTTTCATTCTTTTGCCGAGCATCGTCATTCGGTACTTTGTGCAATTACGTAGAATTGATTCACGAGCCGCCCGTCGTTTTAAGTAATCGCAGGATGTGTATCTTTAATTGAGACGCGACTGTGCATAAGAGCATAAGTATCTTTGTAACATTGTTCGGCTCATTTTATTGAGATTAAATATCATTTCCTTGGATTTTGATCAATGTATTTAACCTGGAGCGCAAAAAAGGACCGGTACTCCGTGTTTTGCAGTCAAATCGCTTAGCGATTCTTTCATACTGATGTCTCAACACGTATCATATCATCGCGTATTTTTAACCTTTAAAAAGATATATAGGCGATTATTATTTATTTCGACGTAAGAGATCTCTATCCAGAAACCAACGGCCGGAACCATTTGCATTTTTCCGTCGTTAAGAGGAACTTTTGTGCCAAGGAACAGCAAAGAGGAGTGACATCATTTTAGAAGGGACGTGCCGTCGTGTGTCCTTCAAGATATTCGTCAGGGTCACATTTACCTCAATTATTTCAGCCAGCTTGGCTCTTGATGTCGCACCATAACTTTAGCAAAGCCATACTTCCGCGATTCTCGAGTCGGCTAGATTTAATTGTTGCGACCCTCATGCGGGACTCTTGTAACTGGAATTTCGTCGTTTGAGAAGCGATTCGATGATGAAATTCTATAAATCGTGTCGCAAGCCGGCGTGCCCTATCGATTGCAACAATTCCTGATCAAAGCGACGGGACAGCGGCTACGCGCAATTAATTTTGAAGCGCAGGCAGGAATAAGGGATTAGCTCTCGAAAGTAAAAGCGTCTTAGATCACGCGAAGTCCGGAAGTCGGGCGTCCTGTAGCGTCTCGGCATTTATATTTCTCCCTTGTGCAACTTGTCATGTTCGTACTGGCGGTGACACAATCGCGAAAAGCCATCGAGTTTCCCTTTAGTCGGTCATTGCTCGGACGACAAACCTCGCGCGAGGAAATGGCTGATTTCTAGATGTTAGAGACGTGTGTCTTTCTTTAGTCATCATTGATATTTGACCGATTGCGTATATTGCATTTTTATTGTTTATAAATTTATAAGAGATGGATAGTGAATTATTCAGTTATGCTGAATAACTTGCAGGAAAAAAATGCGCGGTAAACTCTATGCGATAAGAGCTAACGGCGGAAGTTAACGGATGCAAAGAGTTAATTCGCATACGGTTTAAAATCTGTGTCAATGCCGTTGCCATTTGTCAATCGGCAGTTCGTAGATGAATGTGGCTCGATAAACGCTGACAGTTGGCTGCAGCCACCACGTTGAGCCAATTGATGGCACAGGATAATGAATTAACAGCATGCAACATTTTGCGGCAAGATTTCTTGATTATCATCACCGGTTTAGATATATAAGTTAATTATATTATAATATTAATCTACTAAAAATATCTATCTTTAATACATTTTAAAGTATCATAGAAATCACGAAAAAAATTAAAATGCAACTTTGCTATATTCACGATTTAAAGTGCGAAATTAATTTATTTAAATGTCTGCAAAGTGAATTGGACAAATATCGTTTTAAATAAAATAGCGATCAACTTATGGAATGCACCACGAGCACATTATGTACAACGCAATTGTGTGATTGTTGCATAAAAAAAATTGAGGTTGTGCCTCACATATGCACCGTACACGAGGTAGTAGCAGCAACAAGTGTCCGAGGATTTGTGTCTCCGGTATTTCGTATACGCCTCGTTAAAGACAGAGATTCGCGTTTCCGTTCTCGAGGTGCTAGAATTGCACTGAAAGCTTACGCATTACGCGCGCAGATTGCGTGCAACAAAACGTACCTTGGCAGAGAAATAAGTGGCTAATCCCCTCCCTCTCCCGCAACACACATACACACATATACACATACAACGCAATTGAATTGAGATACTCACACTTCGTTTTCTCGGTGAGTCTTGTGCCGAACCCGTGAAACATCGTCAGGAGCCCTGGATTCCAAAGCTCGGAAGTATCCTTGAACCCTCCATTTCTCGCCCCATTGATTTCGAAGCCGTAAGAATTGCTGACAGCTGGACGAGAGGATATTTTGCGGAAGTCATAATTTCCTTCGATTAACTCGTTCTGCTTTGGTCTCGCGATTCCTTGAGTTTTGTATATATCGAAAAAGCCTTGATGTCGATGCTGATCGAGATAATTCGTGCGATGTTTCGTTGGATCGTGATTTGCCCATCCAAAATCTGCGGGAGATTTGTTTCTGGAGGTTCCGTCGTAGACGAAAATTGGTCTCGAGAAAACTTCGAAAGGCCGGTTATGAACGGTGAGCGCCTTGTACGAATGAAGATCGTTGTCTAATCCAAAATTCAAACGATTGATTCCAGTGAAAGGATTTTGAAAAGACGATTCGCCAAGATTTGGGCGATTATACTTTGGATCCGAATGTGTTCTTTGTCCGAAGACCGATTTCTGATGCATCGATAGATCGTAATTATCGACTTTCGCGTTATTAGTTTCGAAAGGATTGCTGGCTGGCGGTATCGGATTTCTATTTCTAACGATATCGAAAATTCGGCGTTCGTCATCGAAAGATGGAGTATATCCTTGTTGGTACGAAGGTTGATTGGCGACATTAGGCATCATACTTCCCGTGATCCTTCAAGTATGAAAATCGCGGTTATTTTGTAATAATTGCATTTTTTAAATCAAATTATATCTTACGTAACGTGAACGGATGTAAAAAGAACTGAAAGAACTGACCAGAAATAATTTAATCATTTAATTTTCCCAGCCATTTTATTTTAACAAAGAATCTCTTTTTGAAGTGGATATATATTTTGATAATCTATTATAAAACAATTTATCAATAAAAATAAAACATTAACATTTTTTTATAAACGTGCATTGATACACATATTTTTTTACAGACTACAAACATTCTATTAGAAATATGTATTTCTATTAGAAATAGTATAACTATCTCACGAAAAGAATGAGATAAGAATGAACAATGGAAATGTTAATGACGGGATTACTCTCTATTCAAAATTAATAACCAGATATTCGTACATACCTTGGAGATGACAGAAGACTTGGCATTGTTGAACCTAAGAATCCGCTTCCAAATCTCGTGCTCGGCATCGTTTCGTTTCTCCTATCTTGTTTGATGCCACCGCTTCCCATTTTGTAAAGTCGATCTGGTTCACAGTGTGGCGAACGTTGACTCCTCACGTAGACATCATAATCGGCATGAGTTTGTAATTCTTCAGCCTTCGGCATTTTCATGCTCAGGGCACATGTTCCGTTACCTTTGATGCCAATTCTAGATCAACATGGAAAGAACAATTTTTTTGAAAGATTTGAAAATTTGGTCAGATACAGATCTGAAAAATAATTTTATTGGACCATCAAAATTATTATAGAACGTTTAAGCATGACAATAATATTGCAAAATTTTTTATATTCTCGTAACTAATTTAAATGTATAATTTTGATGATCCAATAAAATTATTTTTGTATATCTAATCTGAATATTTAGAGTCTTTAGTAAAACTGTTTTTATAAATATACATGTAGAAAGATAATTTCATAGAGTTAATATATACAATCATATAAAAATTAAAATACAAATATAATCTTATTTTCAGACATTTTTATCGTATCTCTCTTATATTTCTTTCAACTATTTTGTGTTCTATTATGATTACCACGGAAAAAACGATTTCGTTGTAGGATTTAAAAGTTTTATCAGATATAGATTTGAAAATTAATTTTATTACAAAATTTTATTATACTTCAGCAACTAATTTGAACATTCTACATAATTATTTTGATGGCCCAAAACAAAATTATTTTTTAAATCTACACGTCTAATTTTCTTCCGTGTAGAATGTTCCATTTTACGATATTTTATGATATGTACCCGAAAGCGAACGCGTTACAGGAGTTTCTTCTTTTCGAACACTCATCCTCGCATTCTGAAATGCTACCGACCGCGACGCTGGAAAATACATCCATGTCCGGCAATTTGGACCCGATGGCTATTCTCGTGTAGCAATCTGCATAATAATAATAATAATAATAATTACGTTCAATTGTAATTAAGTTCAATTGTCATATTTACTCAGTCATTGGTGACCAAATATCGTCACTTACCACTTGCGACGATTACAAGTTGATTATCAATCGTGATACCAATCGAGTGCGATATTTGACAGGATCGTAGGAAACAGATGATGAAAATGAGAAATCCCCACTGATGTCCCATCGCTGTTAACGAGTTCTTCATATTTTAAGGATCTTACTTCACTTTCACATGATATATTCAACTTTCTGTTTTCATAGTTTTCACTAAAAAATAATTCTCATTACCCTACACTATTATGTCATGATCGTCTAATTTATTCTTGATAATAAATGTGACAGGAAACGTATTTATGTTTCAATTAGTCCCGGCTTGCTCCTTCAATCCTCGTTAGTACGCGCGTGAACGCTTTAGTTAATACTTTCTAGCCGTTATCTGACGTCCTATTCTATCTGCGATCTATGAATCACGGTTCATTCACACGAGACGTCCCTGAAAGAGTGTCCATTTGATGGAAGATACGCACGATGAGCGGTCGCGGCGATTACGAAGGTAATTGTCAACAAAATGTTCCCAACGATCATACAAGTAAATCGTATTTCAAGAAGAAAAATGATCAGCGTTCTGCAATCGTAAAAATAATCTTCAGGGAAAAATTCTTCTGCTTTTTTTTTTTTTTTTAAAAAATGAAATGAAATTTATAGATCACTGTGAGAGAGATTTGTGTTCACTGGACTGGATTTGTGTTCACGCTGATCGACATCCCAAGGCAAAGTGAAGATCGGCGAGCAGCCGATCCGCGCGAATGGTCCGTCTTCGGATGGGTTCTTCCGGTTTTATTAACGAGCGTTCGCTCCTTTAATTAACGGGCCGGGCGTAATTGGCGCGTCATCCTTGCCGCGGTTCATTATACTTTCGCGTACGGGCCCCCGTGTCGCGCCTCTTACGATTGACTCACAACTGAGAGCATCGTGTAACTGTATCATTGTCTTATACAGCAGAGTCGGCATTATGATCGTCTCTTCTGCTTCCTCCGCTTACCTCCGTGTACGCGCCGCTTCTTTTTCTCTTCCTCTTCGTCCTCTCCTACTCGCTCCTCCGCGTGACGCTTGCACGCTCAAAGGAGCTCGTAGCCGTTTGCAGGATCCGCGCGCATGCGAGTCTCTCTCCTCTCTCTCTCTC